CTCTGGAATTCGGGAGCCTCTGGTGGTGACCCCTAGCCAAGGACTGGGAAGTCAGGAGGGACACGACTTTCTGAGCAGGATAATTAGGGGATTGATCCCAGCCCACTGACAGCGGTCAGCTGGCGCTAGAAAGGGGGAATTAGGGGTGGCCCAGAAACTGGCAGGTTGGTGTGTAGCATGGAGTCCCTAATGTGCCCTGCTCAATGAGGTGCTTAAACCACCTTGCCCTAAGGTTGCTACTAGTATCTTTGGTAGGTGGTCAGTTTAAATATAGGTAATATACTCTCCATTTTTACCGTAGGTTTGGTACAATAATAACAAGTATAACTATTTGTTTACCAAACCTCATATTGACAGAAATGTTTCATACATAGTTTAAAATCATTAGCGAAGCCATTTTTTGTTCACGTTCAGACATTCTCCAGGTCATGTTTGCAACTTGGAAATTATAGTACTGTGAAAGAGAAATAGAGGATGGATAGATAGCTAGGCAGGCAATGCACACAGCTGTTTTCATTAGCCTCCTTAAGTGAAATGTACACATCAAACAACAAACATAGTGGGAAAGAAAAAAAAAGATTTTTAAAACACAGCTGATTTTAAAATTTTTCAAGGTTGTTAGAAAACAGGTAAGAAACTTTGGTAAAATACATAACTTTAAATGACTTTCTCACTTTGGAGACTTTGTATTAATTAACAATATTGGTCCAAATTTTCCCTGAAGTAGTTCCACTGAAGTTAGCAGAGTTACAGCAAGGGCAAGTTTGGCTCATTACATCAGAAGGCAAAGATTTATTTTCCTCCAATGACATACTTTGAAAAACATTAATTGATAGAACTCTTCGTATGTAGCCTCTTAGCAGCAGTAATCCTTTCTTATTATGTAATGTAGTTTAAACACAGTTTCAATCTGAGCTGTAATCTAGATAATAGTAATAATCACTTAGCTTCTTAGCCACACACAGTCCACCCTCAGGCTCAGGAGGTTACAAAGCTTTTACTAATTATGTTTGCAGGCTTATGGTTGGGATCCAACAGGAGTTTGGCTTTTAAACAGACCTTCCAAGTCTCTTTGATTTGGATGAAAAGTCCTTTATTTTCGATTAATGTTAAAGCTATTTAAATGTCCCTACTTTAAAAAAAACACCCAAACAAGTTGTCATAATTTGACATTCCTGTTTATGATTAAAATCTACATCTATTTTTGCACTAAGTAGGTGCACGGTTTTGCTTCAGATCTGTCCTCAACTGCATTACAAGGCCAAATTCTGCTCTTAGTTACATTTGTGTAATTTCAGAGTATTTTCTGTGATTGGAGATTATGGAGTTACTTAGGCATTTGATGGTGCAGCTAAAATCAGAATTTGGCCCTTCACTTTCTATTTATAATGTGAGATATGGGATCTCTCTAAGGGGGTGTTTGAGGAACTGGCAGTCAGGGTGCTCTGTAACAATAATCATTATTGTGAAGAGATCCTGGATTTAACAGCTAGTTAAAGCAACAGTCATAGTCATACTAATTGGTCTCTGACAGTCAGATTCAGCACATTAAAAGTATTGTTACAGAGAATACTATCAGAGTACAGAGCTGAGAACCAGGGTTTATGACCTGTGTAGAAGAGTGTATATTGCCAAGAGCTGCTCTTTATAGTAAGAATGCTGTAGGTAAAGAATATATTTTTTCAATTCTAATTTCTGGTTCAACTTTGATTTTCATAGGTTAAAAAAAGGTTAACTCATGAATAATGTACTGGTGTTTGAAAACCAGAGTAGTTTCTCAGTCTTCTAATCCACTGAATTACAAACACTTTCCACGTGTGACATTGATTGAGAAATCACAGATTGAACCACCAACTTTCACATGCTTGAGCTCTTCCAATCCTCTTCATGCTGTAGGATATCTAGAATATGCAGTTTGCTTCATTATTCAAAGCAGAAAAATTATTTAAAAAATCCCTTGATATTTTCATTATTTGCTGTTTTCCTAAACTTTTTCAGAATTATGTAATAGAATATATTATATATTATACCACTATGTATGTATACAATGTACATTTCATACTGTGTATCTGAACAGGATTGAATGGATGTTTTTGGTCTTTTAAGTTTGCAGTGTATGCAGAGTACACTCCAAAAACAAACAATAGTATCTTAATCATACTTGGTGTAATAGGGCCTGACTCTGAATTCCTGGCAAATGAAAAATTCTTATTGAACTCAGTGAGAATAATAAGTGTACAAGAAATTCAGAGTAGAACCTCTTTTGTGTATGCATGTTGTATTCTTGAGAGGAATATGAAGGGACTATGTAAGACCAAATAGTCCCTCAAGACAAAATAAGAGAGGAGCTTCTAATAAAATAAAATTTTAAATGAGTAGAAATCTAATTGTGGCATCAGTGAGTTCAGTGTATTACCAAGTCACATGGTCCTCACAGCTTGATATCTATACCAATATCACAAGTAGAAGCTTGAATCACTTTTTCTACACTATGACCTACAAGGCACAACTGTGATAATCATTAGGGTTCACGATGGGAGCCTTTGCACTGTGTGAATGAAACGGGTCCATCTTATGCTATGATTTCTGCCAGTGGACGATATTTCATTTCACTTGGGATTTTGTGCATTTTAGATGAGTTTAATCTTTCCAAATTCCTTTATTTCTTAGTTCAATATGGGAACAGACAGTTGATTCATGTTGTTTATTTTCCTTTCATTTTAAAATTACAACTTGTACTTCTCATGCTCAAACAAGATGTACCATTGTCTCATTAGTTTAAAGGATGTTTAATTAGTGTGTTGATATGCATGAATAATGTTAGGCCTCTTCCCCTGAGCTTTGTTCCTTGTATATATTCTGTTGTGCTTTGATTTCTATTCACATAAAGGAAAGATTTCTATGTCTTGATTAGTATATTAATACAAACAATATTATTCACTTAGACTGAACCCCTGGATCCTGCACAAAGCCAGAGTAAATTGACTGTACATAGGATGAGGAATCCTCCCCAATCTGTGAAGTGACAGCAGAGTAACTCTATAGCTGCTCCCGCAGCCTTAGGTTTGCAGAGATCCTTGATGCAGATGGAGGGTTTGACCTGCGTATCTGAGAAGTCAGAGATCCACCAACTTCCTTGGACAGCATACTCCTCTCCCCATATACTAGCATATAGGGAGGCACATGAAGAGCTAGATTCTGTGGTGCAGAGAGGCTGCAGAACTATTGCATTCATCTCTTCATGTGTAGTGGAACTACACTATTTCCACTTTGTGCTGGGGCTGTAGGAGTGTGCATGTGCTTAGGGACTAGGGTTTGTCCCTTATTTAATAGAAAATATCACCAGCTATTAAGTTTGGCAACTCTAAAACTTAGAACAAATTAAATACCTGAATACAGAGAGGAAG